GGCATTCGACTCGGTGCCCCATACATGGCTAAAGAGAGTCCTCGAGCTGTAGAAGATAGACTGTACAGTGAGAGACTTCCTCGAGCAGTGTATGGGGCAGTCGAGTACGATCCTTTATCATCTGGGTGAGCGGATGATGGCTGCGGAGAACCACATAAGGATAAGAAGGGGTATCTTCCAGGGCGATTGTCTGAGTCCAATCTGGTTCTGCCTCTCCCTGAATCCTCTCAGTACCTTACTGGAGGGATCCGGGAGAGGATTTCAGCTACGGAAAGGAGGGACAAAAGTGACCCACCTTTTCTATATAAGGTCATCCACCTTAAGTTATTCGCCTCCAGTCGCTCCCATCTTATGGAATTGCTAAAAATCACTTGTAAGTTTAGCAGTTCCATTGGATGGAGCTGGGGACGGATGAGTGTGCGGTCCTCCATGTTGAGAGGGGAAGGGTTGCTAACTCTGAGGGCATAGATTTATCTATGCCCTTCAACTTAAGGACCCTTTTCGAGGCTGAAACATACCGATACCTGGGTATGTCACAGAACATCGGTATCGATGAGGCTGGTGTGAAACAGTCAGTTTGCGACGTGTTTTATGCACGCTTGACCAAAGTGCTTAAAAGCCTTTTGTCCGGTGTGAATAAGACACACGCATAAAACGGTTGGGTCATGCCTGTCCTTATGTATACCTTTGGCATACTCAGGTGGACTCAGACTGAACTTAACGCCCTGGATAGAAAAGTCCGCACTACCATGACGTCCCATAGGATGCATCATCCGAGATCGTCGGTAATGAGGCTGTACTTGCCGCGAAAGCATGGTGGGCGTGGCTTTCTGAGCGCGCTCACTAATCTGCATAATCGTGAAATGTGCAGCCTCCGTCATTACTTCCTGGCGAGATCGGATGATCCATTCTATAATGACGTCATTTCTAGTGATAAAGGGCTTACCCCTCTATCCTTGGCCAACGAGCAATGGCAGGACCCAGCAGTGCTTAGCATTTCCGACCGGGAGACCGTATGGAAGGAGAAGGAGCTCCACGGGAGGTACTACAGGGCTCTACATGAGCCCTTCGTAGATACAGTCGCCTCCCTCAACTGGCTACGTTTCGGTGACCTCTTCGGGGAAACCGAGGGTTTTTGTCTGTGCAATACAGGATCAGGTTATTAAGACCAACATCTATCGGAGATACATCCTAAAGGATGGCACCGTCGACGTCTGTCGAGCTTGTCGCCATCCCGGGGAGTCACTTAGGCATGTCATCTCCGGTTGTTCGGCGCTTTCTAACTCTGAGTACTTGCACAGGCACAACCTAGTAGCCAGAATTCTACACCAGGAGCTCGCTCTAAAATACGGTCTCGTGGACTGGAAATTGCCGTATTACAAGTATTTGCCGGAAGCCGTGCTCGAAAATGACCGCGCTAGGCTCTACTGGGACCGGGCCATCATCACAGACAGGACTATTCTTGCAAATAAGCCTGGTATTGTGCTGATGGACCGGACACAGTCAAGGATATTTTTGGTCGACATTGCCATTCCGTTCATGGGGGGTATATTGCCATAGTTGCCACGCTTGGCGAGCGGGTTGGCAACCGCAGTTTTTTTTGTCGTACAGTTGCTGTTATCAGGAAGATGCTGCTGCCCATCTCCTGCCTGTTTCCCTCTGTCGCCTTTTACGACACCCACGGGAAGATATGGGGTAGTGGATATTCTTAACCGCCAATACACGGGATCCACTATCTTTATGGAGAAAGAGGGATTCTTTATGATGAACTCTTTCTTCACAGGAAGTGGACCTGGTCGAGCCCCGACGGTTCGACAAAAAATGAGATTGACTTCATTATGACGACCAGACGCCAACTGTTCAGTGATGTCTCAGTGATCGCAAGGGTGAAAACTGGCAGCGGTCACCGAAAGATTAAAGTATTCTAATATCACCTCTCCCCCTCGTGCTCTAATCCAAAATCTCGAAAACTTTCAGCTCGAGTTACACAACCGCTTTCAGTGCCTACAAGATTGCAATGCAGTGGACGATATGAATGACAAGCTCGTGGAAACTGTCCATGCGGTCGGAGCTAAGTTCTGCAAGACCCGCCGCAGAAGAACACAAAAACTCTCCGATCACACTCTTAATCTCATGGCTGTTAGACGGGAGATGAGGCTGCTATCGTCAACAGATTTGACAGCATACAGGCAACTGAACAGACAGATCTCCAAATGCATGCGGCGAGACTTACGCAACTTTAATACTGCTCGTATTAAAGAAGCGATCGAGCGGAACCAGGGCTCCAAAGTCTTTGCCAGAGATCCGTCTGCCCGTAAGAGCCAACTGTCAAGGCTGAAGACTGAGTGTGGCAGCATCGTTTCCGGGACACCTGAGATTTTGAGTGATATTGAGAGGTTCTATGGGCAGCTGTACACATCATCGTTGGAGCCACACGCAAGTGTGAGTAACGATCCAAGAGCAAGTCTTATCCGACACTATTCCGATGATATCCCGTACGTCAGTCTAAGCGAGATTAGAATGGCTCTCCAGCACCTTAAAAACGGCAGGGCCCCAGGCGAGGATGGAATTACAGCGGAGCTTCTGAAAGCGGGTGGAACACCGGTACTTGAAGTCCTTCAGAAGCTCTTCAATTCCGTCCTCCATGGTGGCACTACTACAGAGGCGTGGAGCAGAAGTGCGGTGGTCTTGTTCTTTAAGAAAGGCGACAACGCTCTCTTGAAGAACTACAGACCGATTTCCCTTCTGAGCCGCGTCTACGTGCTGTTTTCGAGAGTCATTACGAATCGTCTCGCACGCAGACTCGACGACTTCCAGCCTCCCGAACAAGCCGGTTTCCGAAAAGGCTTCAGTACCATACACTGCGGCAGATTGTACAGAAGACTGAAGAGTACAATTTGCCACTTTGCCTTGCGTATGTGGACTATGAGAAAGCCCTTGATTCCGTCGAAATTTGGGCGGTGCTGCAGTCCCTTCAGCGGTGCCAAGTTGACTGTCGGTATATCGAAGTGCTGAAGTGTTTGTACAGTAGGGCTACGATGGCTATCCGAGTACAGAACCAGAGCTCGAAACCTATCCAACTGCAGAGAGGTGTAAGACAGGGTGACGTTATATCCCCGAAACTCTTCACCGCTGCTTTGGAAGACGTTTTCAAGCTACTGGACTGGAAAGGATACGGTATTAACAGCAATGGCGAGTACATCACTCACCTTCGATTTGCCGACGATATAGTCCTTATGGCAGAATCGCTGGAGGACTTAAGCACTATGCTCAATGACCTCAATAGTGCCTCCCAATGGATAGGTCTTAAGATGAACATGGACAAAACAAAGATCATGTTTAATGTCCATGTCACACCTATGCCGGTAGTTGTTGGGAGCACTATGCTCGAAGTTGTTGACGAGTACGTTTACCTGGGACAAATAGTCCGACTAGGTAAGTCCAACTTCGACCGAGAAGGTCAATCGACGGATACAACTCGGCTGGGCAGCGTTCGGGAAATTACGACACATCTTCTCGTCAGGTATACCTCAATCTCTGAAAACTAAAGTGTACAACCAGTGCGTGTTGCCAGTGATGACTTACGGATCAGAGACGTGGTCCTTCACTGCTGGCCGTATGAGGACGCTCAAGGTCGCTCAGCGAGCTATGGAGAGGGCTATGCTCGGATTTTCTCTGCGTGATAGACCCAGAAATGAGGATATCCGCAGTAAAACCAGAGTGACCGACATAGCCCAACGGATTAGTAAGATGAAGTGGCAATGGGCCGGCCATATAGCTCGTAGAACCGATAACCGATGGGGAAGAAAGGTTCTCGAGTGGCAGCCTCGTACCGGTAGGCGTAGTGTAGGGCGACCTCCCACTAGATGGAGTGACGACCTGGTAAGATACGCAGGAAGTCGATGGATGCAGGTGGCTCAGGACCGTGCTTTGTGGCATTACTTGGGGGAGGCCTATGTTCAGCAGTGGACTTGTGAAGGGCTGTGATGATGATGATGATGATGCCATTCCGTATGACGAGAACCTCGTAAAAGCCGAAACAGATAAGCGAACAAAATATCTGGACCTGGCTCACGAGGTGACCGACATGTGGGGTGGTTTGGCCGACCGAAATTATTCCTGTAGTCGTCTCTGCGAATGGGCTAATCCCAGTCAGCCTCTCGGGTCATCTGAGGCGACTGGGGCTCCGTGACGGACCGCTCCGGGCTCAAATGCAGAAGGCAGTTGTCCTCGATACCGCCCGCATCGTCCGTCGGTTTCTTTCCCTTTCCCCCTAACCCTCGGCCGTTTGGTCTCCCCTGCCGAGGGCTTCCATCTGGTTGGATCTTTATTTATTTGTGTATTTTTTGTATTTATTTTATTTTATTGATATTTATGTATATTTATCTTTTCATTTTAATTTATAATTATATATTTATAGAAACCAACCAGATGAGAAAACTATACAGATACCCCAAAAATAATAATAAAAAGGCGTAGGGAATTGACGACCCCATCGCCCGCTGACGTAACAGTTAAGTGACAAAACTGCTACGTCAACGCAGTCAGTCAGCGCCTTGCGAGAGGTGTGAGCGCCGTGCCTCGGCAGAATTTAGGGTGCAGAGGCCCGTTTGTGCTTATGGCTACACACGAAACGGTGCCGGGCCTGGGCGTCTCCCGTTAATGGACGCCCAAATAATGGATGATGGATAAGAAGATAGTGCGCAAAGGGCCGCTGCCTGGGGGTCGCCGGGGCGCGCCTGGAGCTGGCGCTGGACGCGGCAGCATGCGGGCCGCCAGCCGAGCGCGAGGAGCTGCACGATCACCTAGCAGCCCTCCGCATCCATCATCCCCACCAGAATGGCTTGGTGTCGGCTGGGTCTTCTCGGACTCAGTAAGCGGCACCCGCCGCTGGTGGAGCACGTCGCATGCGTTGGTCACAAGCAATGAATGCAAACGCACTGCGGGCGTACTTTAGGGCAAAAGGGGAAGAAACTGGATGTTTGGCGTATCGGGCTAGGATGCATCGTCTTTTTGCTGAGTTGGAGCCATCTTTAACCGTCACAGAGCAAAACCTGGCAGACCGAGTTCGGTATATCTCGCGCTCAAATATATTTGATGTCGCCGAACTCGAACGGCTACGACGTGAGGCTGTTCCCTCGTCGGATGAGAATGCTACGGCTGAGGATGCGGCGCCACAAATGGTAGAGCAACCCGCAAACGTGGATGCCGACGTGAATACCCCAATTGTGGTTGATTCAAACGATGATGGAACAGTCGCCCAGGAACTGGAATTAGAGCATATGAGGAGTACATTGGAAGAGGCGATTGTGGAAACGCGTAGTACGCCTCTCGAAAATCGACCGCGACTTCCCCGCATAGCCCTAAGCAAGCGGAATCGGGCTGTCGTGAGGGCTCTGAACCCAATGCTGGTGATCTATTTGGAAGCCAGCCGGGACCTTTGCGAGACGGACTCAATTCTTTTTGGCGCCGCGCTGGCAGTCTGCCGTATCATAGGCGCCAAGGTTTCCACGGCTGGACGCGCTACTGGCCATAGTAGCGCTATCCCAGCATGGAGAAGAAGAATTGAGGAACGTATCGCAAAGGCTAGAGCTCTCATCGGCAGACTGATATGCTTCAGATCAGGCAACAACGGGCCAAGAATTGTGCGCACCGTCAGGATGGCGTTTGCTGGGACAAATGTCAGTTTTTCCCAGCCGGATATAACGCAAAAACTGACGGAACGCATAGATGATCTGAAGCAGAGAATCGCTGCTTGGGGAAAGCGGATTCGGCGATATACCGAGAGGTCGACACGGTTCAACCAGAATCGTCTTCAGAGTGATCAGAAGAGGCTCTATGAATCATTGGAGCGACCAATGGTAAGTGGAACGGGTCCAGCACCGAATCAGGCCGACACTGTAGCATTCTGGCGCGGCCTGTGGTCAGAGCCCGTAAACCACAGCGAGGGCCCTTGGACGGAAGTTGTGGCGAGTCAGTATGCGGGTATTACGCCCATGGACCCCGTCATCATAACGCCGGATGACGTAGCTGAGGCGGTCCGTAGGGCCCCGAACTGGAAAAGTCCGGGGCTTGACGGGCTGCATCACTACTGGCTGAAGGGGTTCATGGTGTGTCACTCTGTGCTCGCCCGACAGTTTCAAGAGGCTCTCAACCAGAAGTCGCTCCCAAGCCTCTTCACTACTGGGATCACTCATTTGGTTCCTAAAGACCAGGGTACCACAGACCCGAGCAAATACCGCCCCATCACGTGTCTACCGACCATATACAAGACACTAACATCCATTTTGAGCGCGAGAATCACTTGTCACCTGGACTCAAATCAGGTGATGTCGCGCGCTCAAAATGATGTCGGGGCGGTGGTCGTGGAACCAAGGAACCACTCCTCATTGACGCGGTCATTGGCAAAGTGGTGAAACGTAACCGTCGGAACTTCTCCGCCGCCTGGATAGACTACAGAAAGGCATTCGACTCGGTGCTCCATACATGGCTAAAGAGAGTCCTCGAGCTGTACAAGAATGTACAGTTAGAGACTTCCTCGAGCAGTGTATGGGGCAGTGGGTACGATCCTTTGTCATCTAGGCGAGCGGATGATGGCTGCGAAGAACCACATAAGGATAAGAAGGGGTATCTTCCAGGGCGATTGTCTGAGTCCAATCTGGTTCTGCCTCTCTCTGAACCCTCTCAGTTACCTTACTGGAGGGCTACGGGAGGGGATTTCAGCTACGGAAAGGAGGGACAAAAGTGACCCACCTTTTCTATATGGATGACCTCAAGTTATTCGCCTCCAGTCACTCCCATCTTATGGAATTGCTAAACATCACTTGTGAATTTAGCAATTCCATTGGAATGGAGCTTGAGGCGGATAAGTGTGCGGTCCTCCATGTTGAAAGGGGAAGGGTTGCTAACTCTGGAGCATAGACTTATCTATGCCCGTCAACTTAATAACCCTTTCCGAGGCTGAAACATACCGATACCTGGGTATGTCACAAAACATCGGTATCGATGAGACTGGTATGAAACAGTCAGTTTGCGACGTGTTTTATGCACGCTTGACCAAAGTGCTTAACAGCCTTTTGTCCGGTGTGAATAAGGCACACGCATATAACGGCTGGGTCATGCCTGTCCTCGTGTATACCTTTGGCATACTCAGGTGGACTCAGACTAAACTTAACGCCCTGGTTAGAAAAGTCCGCACTACCATGACGTCCCATAGGATGCATCATCCGATATCGTCGGTAATGAGGCTGTACTTGCCGCGGAAGCATGGTGGTCGTGGCTTCTTGAGCGCGCTCACCATGCATAATCGCGAAGTGTGCAGCCTCCGTGATTACTTCCTGGCGAGATCGGATGATCCATTCTAGGACGTCATTTCTTGTGATAAAGGACTTACCCCTCTATCCTTAGCCAAAGAGCAATGCCAAGACCCGGCAGTGCAGAGCATTTCCGACCGGGAGACCGTATGGTAGGAGAAGGAGCTCCACGGGAGGTTCTACAAGGCTCTACATGAGCCTTTCGTAGACACAGTAGCCTCCCTCCACTGGCTACGCTTTGGTGATCTCTTCGGGGGAGACCGAGGGTTTTGTCTGTGCAATACAGGATCAGGTTATTAAGACCAACAACTATCGGAGATACATCCTAAAAGATGGCACCATCGACATCTGTCGAGCTTGTCGCCATCCCGGTGAGTCACTTAGGCATGTTATCTCCGGTTGTTCGGCGCTTTCTAACTCTGAGCACTTGCACAGGCACAACCTAGTAGCCAGAATTCTACACCAGGAGCTCGCTCTGAAATACGGTCTCGTGGATCGGAAATTGCCGTATTACAAGTACTTGCCGGAAGCCGTGCTCGAAAATGATCGCGCCAGGCTCTATTGGGACCGGGCCATCATCACAGACAGGACTATTCTTGCGAATAAGCCTGATATTGTGCTGATGGACCGGGCACGGTCAAGGATATTTTTGGTCGACATTACCGTTCCGCATGACGAGAACCTTGTGAAAGCCGAAACAGATAAGCAAACAAAATATCTGGACCTGGCTCACGAGGCGACCGACATGTGGGGTGGTCTGCCGACCGAAATTATTCCTGTAGTCGTCTCTGCGAATGGGCTAATCCCAATCAGCCTCTCGGGTCATCTGAGGCGGCTGGGACTACGTGGCGGACCGCTCCAGGCTCAAATGCAGAAGGCGGTGCTCCTCGATACCGCCCGCATCGTCCGCCGGTTTCTTTCCCTTTCCCCCTAACCCTCGGCCGTTTGGTCTCCCCTGCCGAGGCCCTCCATCTGGTTGGGCTTTTATTTATTTATGTACTTTTATATTTATTTTATGTTATTGATATTTATGTTATATCTTTTCATTTTCATTTATAATTATATATTTATAGAACCCAACCAGATGAGAAAACTATATAGATACCCCACAATAATAATAATTTCTTTATTCAGAAAAAAAAATTAAAACATATATTTGCATCTGCGCCTGAAGTAAGCAATAAGTTTGTGTCTCAGGCAACAGCGCTCTTTCTTATGGGACAATTTAACAGAAATCTCTCTGATTAAGAAACTTACGTAGACATGTATCAAACAATATTAATTTAAAGTATGAAAATTAAACCTACATATATTAGTTTTTTTTTAAAATTATTGAGTGTAAATTGTTCCTCTCGTATGCAGATAAATTCACTTTGATGTATGTATGTTATGAAGCAAAACTGTTGATGTATATTTTTAAAATAATATTTTGAAAATATATACATTTTGAAAATGATATTTTTAAAATACACATATATCAACAGTTTATTCCCAATATTCTTTTCACTAACAAACGGACTTTCATCTATACTATAGTAAAACTCTTAGAAGTCAATTTCTTTGCACTTACTATTTTTTACAACTTTAACTGGGGTATGAATTTTTTGAATATAACACGGGTACATTATCTATGCAGACAACATATTTTAAATAAGTTTTCTGTCGATCTGAAAACGCATCATACTAAATCCTGGGGAAGGATTAGGATGCTATGTTCATCTATCAATTTTTGTTTGTTATGATATTTGATCATATCCTATCCTATCCAATCCTCATTCCATTCCATTCTAATATATTCTATTCGATTCTGTTTTATGTTAATCATTATTAGATATTTAGACTAAAAAATGACTACATTAGACTTAAAAAATGCATCCCGTATTTTATTCTCAGATGACATCCTCGCTCCTCGTAATGTCGAAACTCTTGAAGGACTTAGTCAGAAACATCCTTCAGTCAATCCTTCCCAGAATTTACCGCTGCCTCCCAATACTTCTATGCAACCTTTACAAGTTTCCGAAAAAGACACTTTAGACGCAATATTGTCATTTTCTAATGGCTCTGCCGGCGGCATTGACAGGATTACGCCTCAGCATCTCAAAGACCTTGTAAGCGTATCTGCCGGTGACGCCGGTAGGGTACTTCTTAATGACATAAAAAAATTATGTAATTTTATGCTTTCTGGTAATGTCAATCCCAATTTCATTCCCTACTTATATGGGGCAAGATTGTATGCCTTCAAAAAAAAAAAAGGATAACGATCCTATTGCTGTTGGTTCTATATTTCGACGCTTAACTTCAAAATTAGCTTGCAGGCACATAATCTCAAACCTTAAGACACAATTTCAACCTACTCAACTAGGCTCTGGCACCAAAGGTGGCTGTGAGGCGGCGGTACATTCGGTGCGTACTTTCTTAACTAATTCCAATGCAGATGTTCTTCTGAAGGTTGATCTTAGAAATGCTTTTAACTCTATTGATAGGATAACCCTGCTGGAAGAAGTGGCTAACAATACCCCCGAAATATATCATTACGATTGGCAATGTTACAGTCAAAATTTAAACTTGTTTTATCATAACCATATTATTGAGTCTGCTGTCGGTGTTCAGCAGGGTGATCCATTAGGTCCAGCTCTTTTTAGTTTGGGAATTCAACCTATTATTTCAAATTTAAAATCCAAGCTGAATGTCTGGTATCTGGACGACGGTACACTTACTTATATTTTTCAAAATTTTAAAAATATTGGTCTTAAACCAAATACAAATAAATGTGAAATATTTATTTCTAATAATTTATCTAATTCTAACAGAGATACCTTTTTCAAAATTTCAATCAGATTTCTCCAGGAATAAAAACTGTCAATTCGGAATCGCTTTACCTGCTTGGTGCTCCGTTGTTTTTCGATATTATTAAACCTGTTTTAAAAACAAAATTTGATAAATTTTTAAATCACGTTGATAAATTATATATTTTAAACCCCCATATTGCCCTTACCATTTTAAAATATTGTCTCCTTGTACCTAAATTTACATACTTGTTACGCTCAAGTCCAGTCTGGAAATGTTCGGATATTTTAAAAGATATCGATAGTAATCTTAAAATTGCTTTAGAAAACATTCTAAATTTGAGATTAAATACAATAGCCTGCAATCAAGCCACTTTACCTATCAAATTTGGTGGAATTGGTGTAAGAAATATTTCTAGCGTCGCATTGCCTACTTTCCTTGCTTCCGTGCATAGTGTCAATGACCTATGTAGCACAATTTTATGTAATAAAGTAGACCTGTGCTTTGCTGCGGAGGCAAAGCAAGATTGGCTAACGCTCTGTCCCGGCGAAAATGTCCCACTGGAAGTTAACGAACAAAAACAGTGGGATATTCCGTTGGAACGGAGTGTCCAGAAAAATTTATTTCAAAATTTCCATATTCAACAAGATCAGGCTCGCCTTCTAGCTGTTTCGACTAAGGAATCTAGCCACTGGTTACATGCTCTACCATCAAGTAATCTCGGCACATTGCTTGATGGGGAAAGCTTGCGCATCGCCGTAGGAAACCGGCTAGGAGTGGCTATTTGTCAACCTCACCAGTGCCCCTGTGGTAGCAGCGTCGATGAGTTTGGGCTCCACGGACTTTCATGCAAGAAAAGTGCAGGTAGGTTTTCCCGTCACGGTTCTTTGAACGAAATCATCCGAAGGGCTCTTGTCTCTATAAATATCCCCTCGGTTTTAGAGCCTTGCGGGATATTTAGAGACGATGGCAAGAGACCCGACGGTATGACTTTGGTCCCTTGGAAGAGACGTAAAGCCCTAGTGTCGGATGCTACTTGCGTTGACACTTTGGCGGCCAAAACCATACTTCTCATCTCAAGGGTACCTCTTTTAGAGCCGGGGCGGCATCAGAGGC